GCCCTAACGTGCGAACTGTCTCTGACCCAGAAGCTGGGGATCCCTCCTATGGAGGTGTACGCATTGTGTTATGCTCCCATGTTTGGCAAGCACGTGTCTGTCGCAGGCGGTCCCCACAAAGGGATTACCACTGTAAACCTTAAACCGTAGAACCTGAGGGTGATCCAGCCCGATGCCTCAAGCTTTCAGTCAGGCCCTGCCCTAACCCCTGCCCCCACCGCAACTATCATCGAAACCCATCACAGCTCCTGTTAGGAGCACAGCGGTCTTTGTTAAGCCCCTTCTGAACTATACCAGCTTCGGGGAGTGGACCCCTATTCCTCCATGCGAACCCCTAGTCACTCAGCTCAAAATCCAGATCCCTGGGCCGAAACTGCTGCATACGAACGAGTTGCCACCTTGTTCAGCAAGGCTCTTGGTGTGGTCTCGGTCGCCGCACGAAATTTGTCCAAGCGAGCTACCTGCAGGTTGTGAAAGTTCAGTGACTGGAAGCCTTTGGGGACCCCAAGAATGGAGGGGACCATGAGGGTATGCAATATGCTTTTCTTTTTTTGTTAAACAGGTACTACGTTGAGAAACGCCCAGTTGGGACTGTCGATTTGCATCTTTGATTTCCAGAATTCTCAGTCTGGAGCTGGCAGAGGAATTGATCCAATCTGCTGACTTCATCATGAGCATATCGTCGAAGAGCACAACCGTCTTGCTGGTCATCTCTCTGAGTAGCTTGCGTTACAACACTTGGCTCGGAATGTGCTAGGGAGGCCCCTCATTTGACAGAACAAGCTGCTGACTACCAGTGCTATTGGGGGGAGGGTTGGAGAATGCCAGAGGCGTTGGCATTTACGACGGGGTCAGGCAAATGGAGAAGCTGGCGGCTAAATCAGTTATCTCGAAACATCTTTGCACCGCATCAGCTGCTTGTTGCGAGCTTCTGGTCCGCATGATCCCAGCAGAACTCTCAGGACGTCCCTGGTGACTCGCTTACACATGGACTTGCGAACTTGACACATGTCAACAAAACTATATAAGGTCCTTCGCGAAATATGGCAGGTCCCATTGTCAGGCGGCCTGAAGGTCATGCAAGCGACGATCCCGGGCAAGATTCACATCTTCCGGGGAGTCCTGCGGCCGGGATAAGAACGACATAACATACTCTAATGGAACCTGGGGGCTTGATGTGATAACGGTCAGTAAGATTCTGAATATGAAGGCGCCTCTGATAAAGAAGTTCCGGCAGCTACTTTGGGTGTATGACTTACTAGACGCGTTTAAAATGGTTTTGGCCAGCATTTGAAGGCTTTGTTACGGTCCATGTTTGATGGGAGGGCGAGTTCTCCTCATGCTACAAGCCACCGACCACGGTGCGAGGGACCAAAACACTTGATTGTCGACACTCGTGCTGCCAAATATTGATCGCGAAAATGCCCCATGCGGGTTTCAAAATCCGGAGCCCCCTTCCATGGCCCAATATGTTCATGCCCCTCATTCTCGGCAATTTCGACAGAAACGGCTGAGCTTTGAAAAGCCTTTAAAATTAATGTCTCCTTCCAGCACTTTGACTTCCAGGATGACCATGACATCCCACCAGACATCGCGCCTCGGATCGAAGCTTGCCCTGAAATAATCAGAGCAAGGTGTTGGAGCATATCATGCCATAAATGCACAAGGTTTGCAGTTATTCCGGCGTCTACAACACTCACGCCTGGTTGAGGATGGAAGCAAGGAGCCTCATCGTAGTCCCTACATAATGCCCGACAATATGCCCCAAAATCCATTTCCACAGAACATGAGTAGAAATTACAACGGGAGAGGATGAGTATACAAAAGCATTTTTCTTCGCGAGTCGGATGGTGTAATGTAGAAGCCTGAATATTCCCACTGTCATTTTGAAGTCCGGTTCAGGTACGCTACACCGTAAATATGGGACATATCTAGTACCCGATATTCAAGCTCCTATGTTGCTGTGTGATCTCTTCCCTTGCGCATTCTTCCAACTTGTACTGGTCCGGGGCTTGCCGTTGTAGGATCTACGCTGATCTACGCCAGACACTGGTACGGAATATATTAAGATTGCGGGGAACCCCTTACAGGATTGTACAGGATTTTGTTGTCAGCCTTAAATCAAATCCCAAACTCCTAGAATCTAAACCTTCAACGCAAAAACCTAAACCCCTAAACCTTAAATCCTATACCCCAAACCCCAAAACCCTGAACCCTAGATCCAAGCTCTAAGCCTCACATCCTAAATCCTAATCCCAAAGCCCTGCATGGTTCAGCCAAAAGTCCGTCACTTGGCCTTGGAGGCTTTGTATCCGCGGCCTGGTCTGGCTAATCTGTAAGAACGATAACAATGCGAAATCCTGGAAAAAGGGCATTTTGTGGACAAGTTTTCAATACGAACTGCCATCTGGGATGAAGTCACTAGAATTTGGCCTCCTGGACCTGCAAGCTGGTGGGCGGGCTGATGGCGTCAAAGCTGGGTTCACCTGGCGAACGTACTTGAGGCTTGTTTGGGGTTCCGGATATAGGGGTCAAGGTAAAGGGGGTAAAGGGGTCATGATGATGCTGGCTATTTCCAAGCTGTCACAGGCACCCCGTATAGATACGTGAGAGGATATGGAGGGCAGAACCCCTGAACATGGTACATTCTTATAGTCACTAGTCGGTACCTTCTATAGGAATGATCTAGGATCTAGAGCCACCAATGTGGGCACCTTATACTTCGACGGTACTTTCCAGGAATTTGAATTATTAGCGGGGAACCACGTTCTATATTCTCCTTGGAGGACCCTTGATGGCCTCCATTCTCAAGACTGGGGCCCCTGCTAACAGGACAGTAGTTTATGGAGGCGCTGTTTTTGGGTTTCCAGATTCGTTTCAGGCAGGGCTAGCTGATCATGCTCAGGCTAGATGTCTGAGCACTGTAAGAGTCTTAAGGAGGAGTCTTAAGGATTACTACATAATTATAGTCCGTGATTATCCTTCCAGGATTATACGTAGTACAACACACACAAATGCTAGTAGAAATAATTAGCTTCCTACATTTCGTCAGGTAGTGGTCTCGGTTTCCCAAAGGGAGAATGTTCAGTGAGAGCCATTGCGCTGCAAACTGGTTCCTATGGGCATGCAAGTTGCAGACACTCCTAAGAAACTCTAAGACGAAATCCTACAAAGCGGATGATGCGGGAACCCACAACTACGTAGAGGGTCTTCCCCGTTTGGCGGCCCCTGGGAATCTGCCCGACGAATTCGAAAGACAAACCTCCTGGAATACTGGATGTCGCATAACGTCTCCCACCATTTCTGCAGAACTGTGCTCATGGATCCAGATTGCAACAATTGTTTGGAAACTGTTGAACTCCCGTTTTTCAAGAAGCTCAGGCAGAATTTTGCAAGCTTTGGGAAGGAGGAGCCACACAAACCTCGCGAAGGACCTCCCTCTGACGGGAGAGGGACTGGGACCCTTCAAACACAATGCAAAATGACAAACGCTCGAGCAGCAAAGACCACGCCACCAAAAGATCGGGTTGCATGTGTCATCATGAAATGCCCACCACCCCAAAGCCAACTGGCCTGGAGCTGGGTGAACGGAAGCCGCGCAACCCATGCTGACAACTGTAACTCTGCCTAGACAATTTGTCCAGACCTTCTCGGAGTTCCCTTTCTTTTCCTGAGCCAGACACGTCCTGAAATTCTGTTCAAGGCAGCTGGAATGCGCAAAATTGGAGACTTGGGTGTGCATAAAGCTGTCCCCTCACCCGCTAACAGTGAAATGGCTAGTGGGTAGTTACATTCTGGTCTTTCTCTATTTCTATGACAATGCTAGTAGCGGCCGAGACGTAAAGTTCTTCAGCTAGCCGAAGTAGCGCAAGCTATGGTTCGTTAGGTCAGCGCCTGCAACCCTGCGGCTCCTTTGCAGCCATGGTCAAGCTCCTCAGAATTATCTCTGCAAAGCTCTGAATACAACCTTCAGGACTACTGGAAAGGAGTCATAATCATAAGCCCCATCGAAGATCACAAGCTTTGACTTCCGTTCCCAGTGAGGTCAGACTGTAGCTGACCCCAGACTATATCTGGTCGTAATGGCCAAATCTTACTTGATGTAGCGGCCTGAATAATTGGAATTGGTTTCAAGGGTTTATAGATGGTTTTGCACTTTCACTGCATCAGGATTGCAAGCCATTGATGGTAATCATTCTGGCTTCTACAGCAGGGTTGGAACTTTTGGGAGCTCGACGCCCGGCAGGCTACAGCTTCCCTTTTTTTCAAAGAAGCGGCATACCTCCCATCACTTGGGAACACTCCGTAATTCATACTAGCATCTTTAATATGATTTGAATAGTATTCCTTAATTCACGTGTATTGGGCCCCATGGGAGGATGCTACACACCCCTATTGCCCTGTGCTAGAGCACATGCATGCAACGAGGCCTGGGTACTAGGGAAGTCCACTTACCCGACAGTTGATTCGACTTTGCACGTTCTTTTTCATTTGACTCTCCGTAGCACACCGAAAACCCAACTCAATTTGGCTTCCTCTTTTTCCACAGAAGCCCCGCCCACATGTGGCCTTGGACCATGTGGCGTGTTCGGTGGAGCACCTTATATAAACTGGTCAGACCCTTGGCCTGTGATCTTGGGTGCAAGGCAATGCAAGTTTAGGGCCTAGAGAGGGTTTAGCGGCGAAATTCTTTCAGATGTCAAGGCCTGAAACGAAGCCTTTTCAGGACGAAATTCGATATACCATCATTTCAAGTCAGGTCCTTGTAATTTGCCCTAGGAAGGGTCAACAACTAACTGCTACATCCCAAGCCCAGGTCTGAACAAACGCAGAGAAATTCTTGTTCTTCAGCAACCCATCTGAACTAGAATTGGAAAACTCTGCGCCAAACTTGGCCCAAAGCCCGCGTCTGTGCGGGCTGCGGATTTGTAAAAGCTCTACTTTCAGCGGTCTGGATACTATTTAGCCTGGACACCACTCACTGAATCAGGCTCGAGACATCATTCGGTATCCGTCAGCTGCGGCTTCCTTGCACACATCCAGGCATTCAGACGCGGATCCTGGCGTAAGTGGCTGACCATCGTCAACACGAAGGCCATGACCACAAGCCTGGAATCGCAAGCATCCACAACAAGACTCAAGTGTAATTAGAAAATCGCCCCGCTGGAACGCAGTTCTAACAATACCTACAATTATCCGCCGACCCCGCTCTGCGGGTCGAGCGCCGGGGAAGCCCTCTGTTCCATTTCTTGGGACCTTCAGGGAGTCTGGGGAGTTGTTGTGCAAGAAACGGGTTTTGGTGTTGCCACAACATTCGTCCAAAGTTAGGACGTAGTCTTATTTGCGACAA